AAGGCTTCCTCTGTACACTTTATTTGCGCCTATATCTGTACTTAGTAAACGTGTCACAACAGTAATCTTTTCAAACTAAGATTAGGCTCTTTAAGATAATGTTTACACTAGGTGCTCTGATACACTACATCATCAGAGCACTCCTAAAGCGGTCAAAGCTGTAATAGCAAAGCAGTGTTTTATGCTGATACAGTAAAATTAGTTCATCTCTTGCGCAAAATAAGTTACACAGGTATGAGTACACTTTTGTTGTTATGACTGGGTCTACTCTGGGGACTTCTGCTAGCCACATTGCCATAAACATGAATCACTCCTATTTACACTTTCGATTAATGGAGCATTCAACGTCGGCAGAAGTTCCTGTAGGAGATACAGGGCAAATCTTTCACCACAAAACATTTTTGTCAGTCCTCAAACATTTGGGCTTTTTTCTGCACCTTCTCCAAATTTGCGTTTGGAAAGAATAGCTTATAATATATAGTTTATAATATAACTATTAATAATTTAACTATATATAGTTATATATAGGCTTTAAGTGTTTGCTGTCCTTTTAATAAATGCATACGACATTAAGTGGGAAAGACTGCATACAGCCCTTTTATTTCCTTCAATAACATGACTATTACTTGTAGGACAGTGATTCTGAAAATGACTCAGACATGTAGCTAAAGATCAAAAAGACTGAAATAATATAAAGAATTAAAAGAATCTCTGTAGCGAGGGGCCAAGAAGCCTAGTTCCTCCAGGCAACGTCACAAAGTTGTATAGATGACAAAGATACTGCAGAAATTGTTTTTCCAAACTTTGTTTTAGTCTTGCATTAACCATTCTGCTACTTTGCCTGCAACCAGGGTCAAGCTACCTGGCTTATAATCAACTACGGCTGTCATTCCCCATATACTTTTTAAAAATATTAACTTTTTTGATAAACTCTCTAGTGTTCTAATTAAAAGCACGTAATTTTTTAATGCACTTCAGTAGATACTTAACTTCAGAGCGTACTCTTTAAAGCCACCCTCAACGTTCCGTGAAAACCTACAACAAGCTAAATATATTTTAGTCTGTATCAGAACCAGTTCCTGCCAAAATCTTCAATCCATACAAACAACAAATTAAGGGAAAAAGACTTTCGCACGCTCTGCTATCTTCGTAACAACTGCATTACCACCAGTAACACTTCCTAGACCAGGTCTACTGCAAATTGATAAAGAAACGCAGGTTATACAGCATTACATGTTTCAGAAAGAAAACAAATCGTCACCCCCAGCTGTCGTGTATCAGAAAAATGAGATATGTT